GCTCTCTGCTCGCCTGTTCAGCATGTTCACGTAGCAAGCTCGGAACCTCTTTGCCATGCCTGCCTTGTGCGAGTGTGTGAGTCGAAACCCTAAACCGTCCTACTTTGCCACACTTGTCCGAGTGTGAGTGTCCAAAAAACCGTCCAACTAACCCTTCTGGGCCTGCCTGGTGCCTCTGGGCTTTGCTGGCGCCTGGGGTGGCTGGCAAGTATTTTAAGAGTTTCGTCAAACCGGATCATCGGCATGGAGCCGTTGGAGTTGGCGAGGTGAGGAGGGGGTTCCTTCCACGCAGGTTCAAGGACTCTCTACACTCCCTCAGCCTCCGAGGGAAGATTTGACGAAGATCTCTTGCCCTTAGTATACGACCTCCGCCTCCGCCTCACCAAAATGAGCTCCAAACCTCACGAAAGTCTCTCGGGTTGAAAGCAAAAGGCCAAACCATCCAGACCATGAGCCTCGGGGCTGTGCAGGAACAGTTGAGCAGTGGAACAGTCAAGAGGGCGACCGAGCTGCAAGCATGTTGAGCTTGGGTTGAGGAATTCTTGCGGGTTTGCAGTTTGTGGTTCAGCTTCAGAATGTAAAAACTTGAGAGCATTCACAACTATCGCCCTGGTGTTGGAAATGGACAGTTTCTCTAAGCTACGGTTTCTTTTGGGACTGCGTGGTGCAGGAAGCGACTATCCTAAGAACCTGTCGAGTTAAAGAGAGCCCGAGTGAACTTTGCAAGCCTGGCGGAGCAAGGTTGGCTTGATGGGAAGCCTTCTCGGAGTGCCTGGGGCCCATGCCGGCTGAAGCAGCAACTCATGAAGTTGTCGTTTCCCTGAGTTTGTGCGTTTAGGGTCTATGGGGTTCAGGCTTCCGGGTTCCAGGGTTTGTGCTCACACCTGATTGCTTGCAGCTGGCACCCACCTCGGAGAGCGCATCTTGACAGGAGGTGCATGATTAAGGTTGTCTGGGCAATGGTGTCTTAAAATCAGCTTTCCTGCCTGCATCCAGTTCCGGTAGATATCCCAAGCCGGTGAGACAAAGTCCACATCGACATGTTCAGGTACCGTGTGGAGAGGTGGAGAAGAAGCCGGCATCAAGATTAGAAAGCTGAACCCATGGAAGATCTTTGCAGATCTTTGCAGACGGTACTTGTCCCAGAACCCGCCTGGCTAGCCTGTAAACCTGAAGCTAGTGAGCGCTGCTGAAAAATCTGAGTGCCCTCAACAACTCAGAGAATTTCAAGCTTTACATTCTCATATGCCGTATACACCCCGCCTGCCCTTCACGCGTCACCCGTCGTGTTCACCTAGCAGAAACAAGCAAGACGCGAACTTCGCAGCCCCTGAGCCAAGATGGGCCAAGGTTTTGCGGGTGCTCGCTGGGCCTGCTCAACCTGTTCATCATTGCACGGGCCCCAGTTCAGCTGAAAGTCCGCCGAGATGCGGCAGTTGTGGTTTGTCCGGACTGCCACCACCACCAGGACGACACCGAACACTGAAAAATACCATGGTCGTTTTTCATGATGATACTGGCGGCAGTAGTGGCAATAAGACATACAAGAAATAATAGCAGTAATGCTATCCACAGAAACGCCCACACTAACATCAGACCTCATGTCAATCCGAATTTCGCTGCTGCTGCTGGCTGCCTCCAGCTTGCCCATTCGGCGCTGCTGTTGGAGGGTGCCGTCCTGTGGGGATGGTGAGCAGTGACGACGACACCCAACCTCAGATATTTCACAAGCTAAGGGCGGTAAGAGCACAAAGAATAGCATCTGGGCTTGGGTTGGGGAGGGCGTTTCTTTTTTCGGAGCCGGCAAGAAAGCCGAATGCACAAGAATGGGACCAACAGTATCGAGCTCAAACCTGCTCAAAATTTGGTTGACTGGGCAGCTGACAAAAACGATATCATTCAATGGGCACTCGAGCAGTGTTCGTGTGCAGAAGATGATTGAACTTTGATGTATATGTACATGTGTATGTATATATATATATATGGTTGTTTATGTATATGTATATGTATCTGGATATGTATGTGTATACATATATATATATATAGATACGTGTTATTATATCTGTGTAAAAACATGCTTGTGTGTACAAAGTAGTACATATGTAAATACACTATACACATACATACATCCCTACCTACCTACATGCCTGCCTGCCTACCTACCTACCTA